CCTTGAGGCTGCTGCGGTTCCTGCCATGTGGCCGTCTGGAGCTGAGTGCCGTTAGTGTGTGCCAGAACGTGCCATCCAGGGTCACCTCAGGTAACTGCTGAGACCAAAGCTCCAACCCCACAGGGCAGGGATTACATAGGCAGTTCCCGTACTTCATCCCCACTGTCCGGCAGACAGAAAAGCCGTCGTAGGCTCACACAGAACATGCACCTACTGAGCAACTGGTTCCTGTGTTCCTAAGTTCACCCTCATAGCCCCAAACTCAGAGGGTGAACCCAAAATGGATCACGGGTCAGCATCTCGCCTCTGCGCACTTTCCTGTTTCTGCTGAAGCTCAGCCTGGTAGGAGGGGGCTGCATGGAGGAGGCCGGCACGCAAGACGCAGAATGGAACAGAAAGACGCTTGGACGGTCGCTGCAGGCTCCTGTCCAGGCACCGTCTGCGTCCAGCTCACCTCGTGACCTAGGCCGAGACTCGAACAGCTCTTAGAAGGGTGACTAAGATGTCAGTTTCCTGGACCCAAATAAAAGAAAAGGCGGGGTGGCTCTACGCGTCCACAAAGTTCACGACATCCGTGAACCGATGTCCAATGTGACTCCAGCTGTTCATGAGGGTGGCCCCTTCCTCTTTGTGCCCAACCCCAGAGGCTCAGAGAATGTCCTTGCAGGTCTGTCACATCAGACTCAGATCACGAATCTGGAAATGGAAAAGGTAGGTGGGAGCCGTGTGCTGGGAGGGGCTGAGCCCTCCCGTGCCCAGGGTGCCGGCACCACGCAGAGTGTCTGTCCCTGTGCACGAGCAGGCATGACGCCAGGACCAGGACCAACACGTCTGTACGACTGGCACCACCCTGTCCTCCAGAGGGTTGTCCCCCAGGTCTGGGGCTGCCTCAAATTGGCACCTCCATTTTCCCTCCAACGTCCCTCATGGTTTTCCTTGCTGGAAATTTATCGAACCAATTTTCATCTAAGTTCTAATATTCCATGAATGCTCAGCTAAAATGACAACTTCCGCTCAAGTCCTTCCCTACGGCAGTGAGAGCACACACCTCTACAGTCCCCGTGGCTTGTTCACACTCCTCTCACAGGTCCGGGGTCTCCTTCTGTTCTTAGTCGTTAAATTTCAACAAAAAATTCTACCTGACTGACATGTATATGTACAATTTAAATGAATCAGAACTAAAAAATATATCTGAATGATGTGTAGCTATGGAAATTAAATTTATAAAAAGTGTTTAAGTGTTTAGGGATCACGGGTGGACAGTGAATATATTTGAACACATAAAACTGCAAAATGCACTTTATGTAAATTTTGGTTAATACTTTAAAATTAAAAAGCTGCATTTTTATGATAAGGGTTTTCATTTTTCTTTGTGTATTTACTCCCTGAGTACAAGTAGAAAGAGAGAGCCTGAGTGAGAAAGACTGAGGCGCAGCACCAGACAGGGTCCTGCCCTTCCATCGCCCAGCTCCAGCCAGCCAGGTCCAGGGTTGTGCCCTGTGCACCCAGGGAGGGCCACAACCACCAACAGCCCTCCCACCGTGCAGACCGATGTCCAGCCACCTATGAGACTTCACACAACTTTTCTTTATATTTTTACTTATATTAAATTTATTTATACATTCAATCACTATATATCACTTAGCTTGTAAAGCGAATTTTTCAAATTTAATACATTTCACACCAGTCCATGTGAGGATACTTTACACGTTATCAACAGACAATAATCCATTTCCGTGTCCCAGAAATGTCTTGCCCTTCTACTGTTCTCCTTAATGTCTTTTCTCACAGCTCCTCCTCCCACCCTCTTCGCACACTTTATCCAGAATTTATAACTGTTATATAGGTTTCTGTAGCCGCTATTCTTTCCGTCTCAGCCATAGAGTGTGGGCAGTCCGTATGTGTTAAGTGGAGACATACAATGTCTCTCCTTCATAGCCTGGCTTTCTACACTCAGCAGCACATTTTCCAGATTCATCATTTTATATCAAAAGCCAGGATCTTGTAGTAGTATTCCATAGAGTATATGTGTCATACTTTTACCATCTATTTTTCGGTTGTTTCTGTGTCTTAGCCATTGTGAATAATGCCACAATAAACATCAATGTGCGAGCACATTTAGACCAAGTGTTCTCCTGTCCCTGGGTAGTTACCCACAGTGGGATAGCTGGACCACACGGCACTTCTATTTGTAGACCTTACATATCTCCATATTGTTCTCCACAGCACATGGACCAATTCACATTCCCTCTGGCAGTTAGGAGTTTCCTACTCAAGACATCCAGGCAGCTTTTGTCATGTTTTGTTTTGTTTTACTCATAGTCATTCTGACTGCGGTTGGGTGGTATCTTGTGGTTTTGACCTGCATCTCCCCTATGATGAGTGATGTAGAGCATTGTTTTCATATGTTTTCTGGCCGATCATATGTCTTCCTTAAAAGTTGTTTCATCAACTTATTTTCCTACCCTTTAATTGGGTTCATCTTTTTTTTTTTTAAGTCGGTAGAGTTCCTTGTGTTGTCTGGTTACCGGTTCCTCATCTGAAGTATAGTTTACAAAAATTATTCTCCCATACTGAGAGTTGTTTTCATGACATTTTTTACATTAAACCTTGATTCATATTTTTGCGAGATTTATCGACAGTGGGCCATGTTTATAGCAAATGTACCAGATTTGAGAAGATAAAATGACGACCAGCTGTGTGCTCCGCGGAGGACCTGATGAGTGGAGCCCAAGGCTACCGGCAGACTCAGTGCAGACATGGCTTCCGTCCGGGGCCAGCGCTGAGCTGTCACTGCTGCTGTGCCTCCACCGAGGGCATCACCGTGATGTACAGCAGCCAATCTGCCAGAGTCTCTGCCTTAGCAACGTAATGAATGCTATGACTGTGCTCCTCTCTGCCACCATTTTCCAGAAAGTTTGGGCCTTTGGGGTCAATGAGAAGGACGGGTAGGATCAATATGTTCATGCTACTGCAGGAAGAGTTGCCTCAGTCATTCATGCAGAACTATTCCTGGAGTGCTTCTTCGATTATCAATCATGTTAGGAACACACAATAGAAAATGCAGGTGTACAGAGCACCTGCCCAGTAGCTAGGATTACTCACAGAGTCAAACCTCACTTTTTAATACGAATGCTAAAAAACAACACCAAGGTTAATTATTTGCACTCGAAAATGTTCATGGATTTCCTAACACACATTATATAAAGATAAATCTAAGAAAGACATAAAGAACATATGTGTTCATTAACATTCTGTATCAGCCTAGAGAAATGGATGGTTTGCCCAATCGCTGTTAAAGTGTCTGTGTCTCTCTAATAAGTGCATACACCTTCTGGAAAGAAGAGGAAAGAAAAGAAAGAAAGAAGAAAGGTAGGAAGGAAGGAAGGGAGAGAAACGAAGGAGACCTCAGACTCCAGACATAGTGAGAGGCACACAGAGCGATGATCAGGAGCAGGGACGATGATCGACCTTCCTGGGCTGAAATCCCTGTGGGGAAACTTAAAGCCTATATAGCCTAATCCATATTCCCGAGTCTATGGAATCTTACTTATATCAACTGCAGAAGAAGCCCATAGGCTGTGAAAAATGAAAGAATTCCACACATATAACACACATAGGATATTTCTTGGTATATGTGAGCATAGAAGTTATTAAAACTGTTACTGTGAGTAAGTAAATGAATAAGGGTGATATGCACACACATATAGAAAACCACTATTTGAAGTTATATTGTAAATATGGACAACCACTGGCTAGAACAGGGAGAAGTATGAGAAAAACTGTGAGGAAACACATTTCCACTCCCCAACCCCGGATGGCCCACGATGCGGCCTGACACAGGGATAGACCAGCTCTCCTATGCTCACAGGAAACAGAACCTGACCAAAAGTATGTACCACAAAGACCAGTGCAAGAAAAGCCCAGTCAAGGATTTGGGCTCTCTGAAGTCTTGAAAGATTTAAATGTCTCACCACGGGCCTGTGGCTCTGGCCCCCCAGTCCCTGGGAAGCCCTGCACGGGAAAGTCAGGAAAGCCCGCAGGCTGTCTTGTGAAAAGCAGGTGACCTCAGCGTCCCCATGGAGCAACAATGAGGTGCAAGTGAAAATCACTTTACAAAGTGAAGACAGTCACTATGAGAACGAGGTTTCCTTCCATCCCATCACCAGGCCCATGATGTTGTCAAGACAAACAGGCCCAGCTGTGGTGGCACAGGCCACAGGGTACCTCTGAGTGACCCTGGGGCCGTAGGAAGGCCTAGGTTCTGATCCTCGGTTGACCTGGACACCGTGGTCACTCCCGAGACACACCCTGTGGTCCTGACTGCCTGGAAGGTCTCAGCAAAGCAAGACCCTCTCGGGGTCTCACCCTACCACCTGCTACCTAAGTCAACCAAACAATCTTTACACATAAGTAAACGTATCTATGGTGATGGTACTCAAGGTCACCAACACCGATTTATCTTCCAGTTCCTAACTGTACTCTGGGAAAGGGGCCGCAGGCTCAAAGGACTGGAGGAGAGGTCTTCACTGTGAGAAAAGTGAGGTAAGCGAGCATTAGAGGAATCTTGAGACACTCATGAGAGGAGAGAGAGACTGGGCAGAAATCCCATCAATGACATCATCACCACATGCTGCCTGTTTGGTGAGAAAGCACCGAAGTGGAGAAGGAGACAAACTAGGGTTTTTTCATGGTTTAATATGGAGCCTTCCCTGCTCTCAGCATTTTCTTCAGAGCCCCTGTGACATCCTTATTCCGAAGACTGTAGATTAAAGGGTTCAGCACAGGAGTGAGGATGGTGTAGAAAAAGGACACGACCATGTCCTTCCCAGGGGTGTGGTAGGAGCTGGGCAGCATGTAGGTGTAGACGGCGGCCCCATAGAACAGGCTGACCACAGTCATGTGGGAGGAGCAGGTGGCAAAGGCCTTCCTCCGGCCCTCAGCAGAGTTCATCCTGTGGATGGTGAGGAGGATGAATGAATAGGAACTTGAAATGACTATGACAGGGATCAGGAGCATGAGGACACAGCACAGGTACATGAGTGTCTCGTAGACTGAGGTGTCCGAGCAGGAGAGCATCATTACAGCGGGGACCTCACAGAAGAAGTGGCGGATCTCCCGAGATCTGCAGAAGGGGAAGGTCATGGTGATGGGAGTGAGCATGAAGCCATCCACCAATCCCAGGAACCAGCACCCAGAGGCCAGAAG